CTATGAAACTGAGCTACGACTTCACCATGATGGCTGCTAGACCCAGGGGGTGCTTTCTTAGAACTATACAGGGTGTGAGCGGAACCAAAGGGTATCAATGATTTTTGGCCCCTTTTTGGTCTGAAATTGGGTAAAGATTTCCACGATTTGGGTCAAAGAGAAAAAAACTGAAGTAGGATAAGGTTTTGCTCTCCATGGTGCGAAGTCTGTTTTCATTTTATTTTATTCTACTATTCATTTATTTACTTACTCATCTTTTTCATTCGTCATTTAAGAACAGCGGCAGGTCTGAAAAAGGGTAAGGGAAACTATGTGGACACATTTCACCCATACCAACGCCCAAATTTCCCAGGGGGAAGGTACCCCTCGGGGGCTGCTGAGAGAATGCAGTGGTAAACTGAATAGTATAATACGAAATGCCTGAATATTTCTCGACATTCTGTTACACGGTGGAATAGATCTGTACTTTGTGCCTCAATCGTGGGGTGCGATAAAAATCGGAGGAAGTATATAGAGGGGGGTGTAAGGGTTTGTGACGATGCAGTTTTGCAGAAATGCAGAAATGTTTATTTTAAGTCGCGGTATTACGGTTTTGAAAATCAAGGGGTTTGTGGTATTTAAAAATTTTCAGGTAATTTCAATGCGGTTTGCGATTTTCTTATGTTATTCTGTGCAGTTTTTTTAATCTAGCACTAATTAATGCTGTCACTGCAAGATAAAAAAGACAATGTCGTATATTCAATTGCCTTTAGATGATCCATCTAAAGCACAGAAAGAAGAGTTCAAGTTTGAGATTGAGCAGATGAAACTGTTGGGTTCACATAAGAACGTTGTATCCCTGGTTGGATGCTGCACGACTCAGGAGAAAATGTTCCTGGTCATAGAATACGTTCCTTGTGGTGACCTGCTGACGTGGTTACGCCGCAAAAGAAAAACGGTAAGGAGATGAGCGAAATTCCAAATTTATTTTAAAACTGAGTTATCGTGAAACAAATACAGGGAGACAAAATTTCGAATCTGTTTTTGTACTATTAGAAATTGTTATACGACTTATATACTTGATGGATTAATCTAGATCATCGAAATGCAAGCCTCCAAGAGATCATATGCAGACAAAGAGGCTCTGACGGATCATGGAGACACCAGGGTTCAAGTAGGCTTGTTATTAAATTGTATCTAACTTCCATACTAGCTCTGTTGTAAAACTTTTTACCATTCTCCAGACTGCTTGTTTGATTATATTTTAGTCTGATTTTAGTCTGGGTGACCTATCCAACCTACTCATCTGATTATTGCTCCATGGTTTGCACGTGACTTAATCAAAATTCAAAATAAAGAATTATTTAGCCTACATTTAATTTTTATGTGTAATCAAATGGTGACGAGTGAAGTTAGGGAATAATTTCACGCGCGTTTTGTCCAAAATCCTAATAATTTCCCGAGCCTTCAGGCGAGGGAAATTATTAGGATTTGGACAAAACGCAAGTGAAATTATTCCCTAATTTCACGAGTATACCATTTGATTACCTATTAATATCATGGGTGAAGAATTACGTTAGAAATCTTGGGTTTTTGACACGTTTATCCTGAATTATCTTATCGATCGAGAACTCCACTCTCTCAAAATGTTTAGACCTTAAATTTGGCTTATAAAGTTCAGAATTTTTCGGACTTTTTCGGCAAAATACCTGTTAGAATCCTTCTTGATGTTCTCTTGTGTGTTCAGGTTTTCTAAAGCGTCTTTTTGTGCCCTGCCATCTTCATCCACGGCATTTTAAAACTTCGTCGCCATCTTGACACTGAGACGTACGGAAGGTTGCCATGGCAATTTTGTAATTTCACATGTGAAATTACAAATTAACGCTGAAATTTAGCGCCAAAATTAAGGAGTAATTCGTCACCTATGATATTAACTGAGCTATTAGAGCAGCTGAAGACGTATAATATTTGCAATATTTCCGGTCGAAATGGTTCTTTGTTTTGTGATAGAACAAGTTTGAATTTCTTAACTATTTCATGAGGCGACATTAATGGCCGCTGTCCTGAAAGCTTTTACCTACTTATTATTTCGAGATTTTTCTATAGCGAACATTCCTTTCATTTGAGTAAATATTAAGTTTAACTTTTACGAGCTTGACTCTAGAGATGTCTACTCGCTTCACGTCAAAACCCAATGACAGGTGTTTCTGTTTTTTTCCGGATATTTGTGTTCCTCGTGCAGAGGGACGCCAACATGGTGTCTCCATACAGTTGCAAAGCTCTACAAAGTTGGGTAACTCGGTTCATCAGATTATCTGTCACACAAAAAACCGCTAGGACATGAGTCTTGGCAAGACTATTTGCACATTCATCTTCTTAATTGAATGGTTTTAACGGCATGTCTGTGAAAGATTCATTTTCTCGCTTCCCTTCACACAGATGAGCAAAGTGGCTAAGGAACAGATTAAGCAAGAGGAGAAAACACAATTGCAAGTGAGCATGGAAAAGTCACCATTATTACAGGATACTAGTTGCCCCCGCAGGGATTTCGTCCAGAAGGCGAAATCCCGAGGAGGCACTCTAGTAACTCGCGCGTATATTAAGGAAAGTACTTACAGTTGAAATATACAGTCATACAGTCAATAGACAAAAAATCTCGATTTGCTTGAACAGGGACCGCGAGGAATCGGTAGGTAATGATGACGTTTCTATTTTTTGCGCCCGCAAGTACGAAATGGTTAGGATGACGTAAAGACAGAACATCCCCAAAGGACCGCTTAGGTAGACTTTGTGACATTTATTATGCAGTCATACTTCGACACTCTTTTGCGTTACGTGTTATCATGCGTGACATTCTGTGGAGCAGTTGTTTCAGTAAAACTTATGGACCAAAATTTTAACGACACTCGTTAAGCGCAGAAGAAGTTATAAGGTGCGTATAACTGTGTATATATATATAAACACTTGGAGAGTTTTCCAGACACTAGTTCACAAATCATTGGAAACCTTGCCAGACACTCCCTCTCTCTCTTTGACCGGAATAAGACTCAGCCCCAAACAAGCAAGACGAGTGAACAACGGCTAGCTTCTCACTAGCAGAACGATGGACGATTACCGCAGAAATTCGCCGACAATCAAATTCTGTGCTGACTTATTCCCTGCTCACAGATGTCCTTCCGCTATAAAGTTTAAAATAAGACTAGAATGCGCGAGTGTGAATTGATCAAACGTCCTTTTAATTTTCCGGCAAATAAAATGAACTGAATGTAAAAAGTGAAAGAGAAATAGCGAAAAATTCAACTTCTAATTAAATCTTTTCTTATGGTTTAGAATAAACTATTCTCGAAACTGAGAATGTTATGATCAAAGCTGTGTAAATCGACTTGAAACTTTGCATGGAAGCTTGCGTTTCCTGCACCTATTGCCATGGAATATGTGTGAAAATCTTCCTTATAAATCGGTATATTTCAAAGAGCAACACAACGAGCAAGAATGCTATTGACCAACAATATACAGAGCGAGGGCAGCTGTAGTGTCAACTATTACTAGTGAGGACATAGCGTCGACTTCTTATTATCTCGGCAACGAAGTAAGAAACTAATCAGCCAGTTAAGGGCTAAATATCTAAATTAATTCAAGTTTATTTGCGCTTAATATGTAAGAATTGTCTCCAATAATTTCACTTTTCGGGAACAGAGCAGCACCAAATTTTGAAAGAAGTCAACTACAAAGACTGTTTTGAAAAATGAGAGAGACGTTTGGGGATGAAGTAGGCTTATCACAAAAAAAAAGATTTGAGTTATCGTCAATGCGCCTTTTAGTTTTGTTGAATTTAATTAAGCTACGGGTAGGGGTTTCTTTATCTTTAGTCTTCAATACATCAAAAGTTCAAATGCTCGTTATAGAGTAACAGACGAATGCAACTTGGATGCATGCTTTAATAAACGGACTACAAGATTCCACGACATTTTGCTACCTGACGGTTGCCTTAGAAACTGACCGTAGTTAAACAATTAAGAATTACAGGCTGTCCCAAAAGTTCGTTCCTCTACTTTATAAGTCTGTATTTCAGTGCGGTTGGACTTGGAAAGCAAATCATTTAAACAAAACTTGTGTCTTTCAATCTAATTCACTGTTTTCATACCTGTTGTGCCATCTTTTGACTGGAATATTCGATTTGCGTGCATCCGCGCCAAAGGTGCGCGTGCGCGATTATATTTTCCAGCCACATAATTTTTGTTTACGTTCTAATTCGCTTCGCTCAAACGAACGTAAATCATTTTACCCTTAAATTCCCGTAATACAAACAAATCACACGAGAAATATGGTAGGATGCGCAAGCAGATCCAAAACAGTTTATTATAAGATAGATAGTTACTAATACAGAGCGGACTGCAGAAAAAAGAAATTACAAAGTTGTTGTTGTTGTTGTTTTACAATTTTTTTTTTTTTTTTTTTACACACTACTGTTTAGAGAAATTAATATAAGCTCGATAATGCATTACAAACCTAAATACTTAGTTACTTGTAACCTGTTTTCAAGGCTTTCTTCAACATACATATCCTTGGCAGAATCAGATTTCCATCTACCATGTATTTTAAGAAGTCTTTCTGGAATCGAGTTACTACTATTACGCACCGCAGAAGTAATACCACCGGATCTTAAACTATGAAGACCATAATCATTAGGGTTGAGGCCCAGCTGACTTAAGGTATCCCTTAAGATATCTCTACAAGTAGTATAAGAAATCTTTCCACTGCTCAGAGTATAGCTAGAACTACTACGGTGAAAAACAAGCGGTCTAAATAAAGGGAGAGAACTACATAAGTCAATACCAGATAAATCTAAATACCGTTGTAAAACACCAACAGGACAGTACTTAGACCTGGATGCACTAATAAAGACGAAATTCCCTTCCCTATAAACATCTGTCTTACTACGAGGTACAAAGATTCTTATATAATCGCTGTGAAATTCGATATGCTTAGGAACAATATTGCATAATTCGTCGTAACGAAAAAATCCTGCAAAAGCTAAAGAGCATAACGCAGCGATACGAAGATTCTTCAAATTAGCATCTTTCTTGTTATGAATATCTAAAATACTCCTTATGATTTCTGTGGTAATAGGCTTCTTTTTCATTACTGGCTGTGATTTCTGGCGTTTAGCAGATTCGATAATATTCCTGCAAAATTCACTATCCAAAGGATTACGATCCAAACTAGGGACAAAAGAATGTAACCATTTAAGGGCAGCATGGGCTAAAATTACTGAGGAACTAGAGGTGCAAGACTGCTGAACTTCAAATAAATATAGGGAAACGACACTACGGGGAAAAGGTAACTGCATGTTGAAATGTCTACCTTTAGACCACTCCAAGAACTTTCTAATAACGCGAACGTAGGCTTTAGTAGTTGTATCCGCCCTGGACTTCAACATAACTTCTAAAACGTCATAAACGTTGATTGAAGAAAATTGTTGAAAGCCTTTCCAGGAATTACTTGATAAGATTACCTGGAAAGACAAGAACAAACATATATAATAAAAGAACAAAAAAGAGCCGTATAAAAATCGATCAATGTTGGGGCCAGTGCCACATAAGACGATAGACTATTGAATGGACCAGTGTCCCGTAAATCAAAAACCATTGATTGGGCCAGCGCCACATAAATCAACTATACGCTGTTAAAGACAGCGCCACATGAAATGACAAACTATAAATTAGGCCAGTGCCACATAGATAAACAACATATTGCTTTGGCCAGCGCCACCAAATGTGAATAATCATTAGGCTACACCATCCAATAAATTACTCAGTAAATTTTAATCTAAAGGCAATAATATTTCCTGTGAAAAGATCAGACCCTAAGAGCGAATTAAGGTTTCTTCCGTGGGTTAGAACCTCATTCCCGATATGAATACTGTGAGCCACAAGATAACTACTATACTTGTGTGTAATTAAAGGCCAAAAGTGAGCCGAAGGCCAAAGAGGTACAACGAGCGTACCAACGGCCCGCTGAGATTTCAAATAATGCAATACACGAGGGACGATACCAACTGGAGGGACTACTAGGCAATTTTCTCCTCGAAGAGACTGAAAGAAAAAATCAACACCCGAAGTATTGGGGTTCCAAAACCTCGAAAAATATTTGGGGAGCTTGTGATTATAATAATTAGCAAAACAATCAACACTATGCGGACCCCACCGACCATCAAGAAAAAGAAAAAATTCTTCAGTAATTTGCCAATCATCAGTATCAATTAAACGACTTATATAATCAGCTTGCTGATTCGAAGTGCGAGGGATCCATTGCACTTCTAAATGAATCCCCGATCGAATACAAATATCAAAAATCCTTCGGGCCATCTTATGCAAACCTAATTTCATGCTGCCCACTTCAACAATCTTAGCAGCTGCTTGGCTATCAGTAAACCACTTAACGTGTGATCCTTTCAACACTGAGGCAAATGATTGCAATGAAAACTCACCAACAGACAACTCCCTCCACGATGAACTTTGAACTCTCTCGTTCTCCGACCACATTTTGTGGCACACAAAATCATTGTTAAAGTCAATAATTGCTCCACCTCCGGTAGCACTGGCATCCGAATATACAAAATAACTAGGATCTTTACTTACAAAGCAATACCTAGAGTTGATATTAACCATATTTTCCTTCCAAAAATACAGTTCTTCCTTACAGTAATCGTCGAGACGGAATATAGAATCCCAGTTATCTTTGCACAAGGTGGACAAGACACAATGTCTGGTCATTATCCTGCCAATGTTACCAACTACAGCCCGGTAGAAATAATTTGACCTGTGAAGGAGGCCAACTCTTGCGCAGACACCTTGAAATCGGCTTCAATAATATGATCAATTGTACTGATAATCTTAAGAATTCTTCTCTCTACAATTTTTAAAGTACCCAGTGCAGAATTCCAGGTTATACCCAACCAGTCCAATACTTGGGTGGGTTCCCATACCGATTTGTCTTCGTTAACGACAAAACCCGCGTTATACAAATCCCCCCTTACAGCTAGGGCCTTAATGCGACAACTTTCTCTATCCTGAACAATCGCCCAACCATCGTCCAAGAAGATGGCTATACAAAGACCCTGTATTCTCCAATACTTTTCTAAAGGCTTCAAAACCTTTGTGAAAACATAAGGGGCAGAGGAAAGACCGAACGGGAGCACAGTGAAAACATAAAATACTTCATTAACGGAATCAGACGACCGCCATGAAAACCCCAGAAAAGTTTGGTGCTCATGCGCAATGTCGATATGGTGATAACCGCTTTTTAAATCAAAGGAAAACATGTGCGCGTCTTTCGCAAAATAAGCCATAGCAATTTTCCAGTCCTCGTACTTAACACTTTGCTTAATTAATGACTTATTGACATGGCGCAAATCAAGAATTAACCTCTTTTTACCGCATGGCTGTATAGAAACTGACAAGGGATTTACAGCAAAGGGCTGCTCATTAACGATACGCACCCGACCAGAGTTAACAAGCTCAAGAACGGCTTGGTCCACGAAATCAGCATGAAGTCGAGCTGACTTATTATTTCCTAGCTTTACGGCCAACGGAAAACTGATGAACGGCAGCCTGTAGCCGTTTTCAATAATAGACAAAATAAAATCCGGAGCACCTATAGATCTCCAGAAACCTAAATTGTTCTTCAGATTACCCTTAACGCTTAATGAATGTCCACTTTCAAGTTCGTAATTCTGTGTAATTTGATCTACCTGTGCCAAGTCATCTTCATTGCTTTGGTTGAGTTGAATGGCCTGCGGTTGGCTTGTTGTAGGAGATTCCAGGGCAAGAATTGTAGCTAGGGGACTGGTAACTTCCCGGCCAGCACATGGATCTACAGTCCTTGGCCCAGTGTCCAAATTTGCCGCATTTGAAACAGCGAAAGAAGTCGCCAGAAGCGTCTCTACGGCCTGAAAGATAACAGCAATGACGAAACCTGTAATAAACGGGAGGGGGGGGTGGGGGCGTTAACCAGAAAGATGAATAAACTGTATGGAACCGCGAGCGTGAATGGTACTCAAGAGACAACGGAGAGTATAAATACTAATAACGGGCCAATCAGGACATCAATGCAAAACAGAATGCACAATAGTGGGTGCGGCAGGTGTGAAACGAGAACAACTGCGACTAATTACTTGGAATAACAGCGGAAAATACATTTACGTTCTAATTCGCTTCGCTCAAACGAACGTAAATCATTTTACCCTTAAATTCCCGTAATACAAACAAATCACACGAGAAATATGGTAGGATGCGCAAGCAGATCCAAAACGCATGAATATACAAAGTAAAGAGGAGGCTCCTTTTTCTTACCACGAAAAAGCTGATTATCAGCGCCCAAAGCAATTTTTGGTTTCTTTCCACGATCGCTGGAGAGTTGTTCCTTTTGACGTCTCTTGCGGCTCGCCGCTTCTCTTGCCTTCTTAAGACGCTTTTCATCTTCGGAGCCGGATGCAAGCTCGTCCGACTCGTACTCGGCTACAACCTGCCAGCCGTCCCTACTTTTATCAGCGATTTTTATCAGCTTCTGTCGCTTTCGAATACGTTGCCTGCCTTCTTGGGAAAGTTTCTTGATCTGCGACAAGTTTGGCTCGATGCTTTCACTTTCAGTTTCAACGCTTTCAAAAAAGGCATCTAATTCGGCATTAAGCTCAAATTGTTTCTGGTTACCTTTGAACTTTAGCTGTACAACTTCTTTATCTAACTTACTCCTTTGTTCGATTTGCTTTCCTTTATCTTCTAATTTTTTCTCAAGAAAATCCTTAAACATGGAAAAGACTTGATCAACGGCTGCTGAGTTGCCTCCACTATCACCTGAAGTTTGGCCAACTTCAGCCCGCACGGACGAACCTTCGCTCTCTTTTTGATCGTTGGGCATCACACGAATAGGAAAAACACAAACCAGAAAGATGAATAAACTGTATGGAACCGCGAGCGTGAATGGTACTCAAGAGACAACGGAGAGTATAAATACTAATAACGGGCCAATCAGGACATCAATGCAAAACAGAATGCACAATAGTGGGTGCGGCAGGTGTGAAACGAGAACAACTGCGACTAATTACTTGGAATAACAGCGGAAAATACATATTTTATAGCCCGAATTGCTCGAACTCCTTCCTTGTTTTTTTTTTTTTTTTATGAATATCACGAAAGATAAACCCCCTTTACGCAAAAACGTTAGGCTACGTGAGAGAATAAGCATGTATACTTCGATTTACTGGCTTATCTGTTGTAGAAACTGCTAAAAAACTGGAAAAATCCGAATTTTGGGTGATAAAATCATCATGGAGAAATGAAGGTTTTGAGGGCAAGAAACGAAGGGGTAGACCAAAAGTCCTGAATAAAGCAGCTAAAATAGTTTTAAAGAAGGCTAGATACAAAACAGGAGACTCGAAGAGGAAGCTCTTACATAGTTAGCAAGCTAAGTCCAGAAAGGGTCATGAAAAGCGAATGTTTAAAATTAGAGGCCCCTGAGTTGGCGGAAAAAAACGATCTGCTTAGTCTGCCAAGTAACTCCCAGCTCGTCTCCGATTTGTAAAGAACTGCAAAACCTTGCTGTGAAAAGGGACCGGGATGATTATCTTTTTTGGATGAATGCCCAAAATATATTTTTTTTTCAGCTACCTAAACTAAACAAATATTGTTTTGGCGTTGAACTGGCTCCTGCGCACCAGGTGATAAAAAAGCTGAAAAAGGATCATCTGTGGGTCTACACGCTGTATCCCCAGCATGCCGCAAAGGCTGCAGAATGTGATAAAAAAGCAGCAAGGGCATAAGATTTACTGAAATTCTAAATACATGTAGTCGATAGAGAAGTAAACATCTTCTAGAAATTTCATGTAAAAATAAAGTTTTGATCAAAAGTTATAGTGCATGAAATTAGAGGAAAGAACTTTTGGGACACCCTGTATATCGAGAATAGATAAATTAAAGACTAATGAATCAAATACTTAAAAACGCACTTAAATTGTTTTTCGTAAAATTTCTTGAACTGCCTCCCTATGATGAACCTCCAGCATTGCGTGACAAAGAGAAGGGCCAGAAGTGTACTAAAATCTTTTGAAAATTTAATTTAATCTTTCCACGCAGGAAAGCAAACAATCGCATGAAATAGGAGAACTGACTCCGTTATCAGAAGAAAGCAATGATGAGGTCCGACAGGAGCTGGTGTCGACTTTTAAAGGCCATCTTGTAAGAAGGAAATACTTGAACAAAGAATAGTTCATTTCATTTTTCTCAAATTTAATTATACTGAACGTGGATAAGGCATGCAGATAATGAGGAAATCTGCTGAGAAGTAACAATTTTCTGCGAAAGAAAAAGTATTGACCGTGCTCCGAAATAAGCCAACGAGAACTGAAAAACTCTAGAAATCACATGCTGATCTAGAGCCATTGATTACGCCCACAAGAGATAAACTCAGGCTAACATCAAATTAAAGCTAGGACTCGAGTCGGGACTCCTAACCCTAACCCTAACAGCGAGCTTACCTTCCATGTAATGCCACGCACTTTGCCAGGCTTCCCAGGCAGCTGTTGTATTCCCAGTTACGCGATGGAAAGAGAAATCAAGGACGGCTTAGGCTAAGATTCAACGACATCGTGAAAAGAAACCTGAAGCGGAAGAACATTTTAGTAGATTCTTGTAGGCAGCGAGCAAAGGACAGAAAGACCTGGAGGAACGTTATTAAAGCTTCATGAAACGGACATTGTCGCTTCGACAGACTGCATAACTAACTAACTAACAATGGTCGTGACTTGCAGGAAGTGAAAATGGCGGGAAACCGAAAAATTGTCGAGTCCTGCGTCGAGTCCTGGCTCGATATATAGACATCCTTCGTCCACGAAGCCGTCTGACAAAGAATTTTCAATGTATGTTTACAGTGCGACTACTGTAATCCGAGCCACTTAGACAAAGTTGACCAATCGGATTACAGGAAAATAACAGTACATTCCAAGAAAGTTGGTTGTGGGCCAATCAGCAGGTCGTAAGGAAACAATAAGTTACTCGCAGAAGTAAATTTAAATACTGATAGCAAACGTTTATCAAGAAAGCAAAACGTTTCACCAGACCGGCAAAGTTTTTCTATCCGAAACATTCATATAACACCCAGGGGACGTATTTGTTTGACATAAGCTGTTATTTTGTCATCTACTAGCAATTTCTTCTCTAAACTTTGCCGCGCTTTGCAATAAAATACAATATAGTATAAATAACGTTTACATTTTTCGCCTCCCTCAACACTCTAACGGACCATCCAGGTAGGGTTCAAAAGGTCACGTTTGTAGGTTGTTATTGGTTGATTTCGATCCATGTCGTTGATTTCGTTTCGTGGTAATTATGATTAACAATTAACTTTCTCGGAATGTATTGTTATTTTCCTGCCATTCAATCGGTCAACTTTGACTAGGTAACCCCTGTTATAGTAGTAGTCGCCCTGAGATGAAAGGTTTCACCAGAGCAATCTCTCCAGGTCACTCCTATACCAGAATACAATCAATCGAAGCACCCAAGCGTGCATTCGATAAATCTTGGCCGGTCTGGCAAATGAATCCACAGGTATATTTTGTGATGTAATTTAAAGTAAATATTACTTTTGAGCGATTTTCAAAAACTGGTGAGTCATTTCTGCAAGGTGGCGCAGTCCCATTTTGGTGAGGGCATGGGTACTAACTTTTAGGTACGACAACCATTGCTGCCTTTAGGGGTGTATCTTAGTGTTGCGAAGACTTTTGTTGGTTAGCTATTGTTTGGTGCTGTAATTACTCAGTGTCTTTTCAATCTTTTGTATTACGTCATTTGGTGATTGCACCTACCCTCGATACCAAGAAACTACCACTTTTAGTTCGGTACTTTTTGTTATATCCCTGACAAGGCAAACGCTTTCTTCGGAAAAAAAGATCATTAATCTGCATATCTTTCACCTACAGGAAAGAGAGGAAAGTAAACTATCAAAGAAGGTACAAGTGACCATAGAAATGGCCTCATTACGCCAGGCTGACGTCACACAGCACATGGTGTCGGCCAATCACAATTTGTTTGAAGTAAGAGGGAAATACCTCAGCCTTGGGCGGCCTAATATCACGTATTAAAGAAGGATGTAATGTAATACCTTTCTTCTTTACGTGCTTTGGGTGACGCTAAACGTAACCTTTATGTGAAAATATATCGCGTTACAAGTGACTGTTACTTGGGAAAAGGAATATCGGGGTTTGCGAATTTGCGAACTTAAGATAAAGACAAATTTAAAAAATTTAAATTCCTGTTCTATTAAGTCTTGTTCTTAGGCCAGTGGAATCTCATAGTGTTAGCACATATACCAAAGGCTCACAAGTGAGAATAATACCAATTTAAGCACTGAAGCACATGTTCCAACTCGGTGGTATGGAGTGCTCTTCCACTGGCACTCGCCTCCGCAGTAAAGGGCCTTTGATACACGGCTTTGTCCATTCATCGGCTCGACGGTTATGCCATGCTTATGAGACCCAACAAGGTGAGACAGCTGTTGATGGCTGCCACTGCCCTTATGATATGGTTCTGCGCATGCGTAGGGTACTCTTCATACCGCGGAGCCGGTACGTGTTCTTCAGTGCTGAAACTGACATGTTGTTAAGGAGTGAGAATCGGTGTTGCGTAACCTTTCATAAAGGTTGTATGGCGGTTCGAGCGATTGCAATTTAGGAGTCCCAAATAGTAATAAAGATACACAGGGGCACCCAACGACTGTTTTCTGTAAAATATCTGTTCGGAGAAACAAATATTGCCTACAATTTTCTATTGCTTGAGGACGGCTACAAATTTCTAGATGACCGTTCCATTCATGTACAATTTTCGAGACTTATCTACTAAATTCCCAACGATTTCTGAAGCTTAACTTTTCGCACTTCACTCCCTAAGTAATGGTGCTTTTCGTAGAAAAAGAAAACCTAGAATTTTCGGACTAAAAATGCGATTGAGATTGGGACTGAAGTAGATGTAAGATGAAAATGAAAACACCACAAAAACTATTCACTACTAAAGAAAAATGCCACTAGGGCACCTCATTATGATAAGTTTGAGGTTATAAGAACACAACAACCTAAACTTGGGTCCCCTGCGCCACTGACGTTTTTTGTCGTTCGTGTACCCATCCTGTGCTGTCTTGAATTACGTCACAACGTCCTACTTTCATTCTCTTGAGCTATTTTCAGTTTTGGTATTGTCAGATTACTTTTTAAGCAAAAATACATGCTAAAATCTAAGAAAACGTACATTTAAAAGCATTCAAAATGCTGAAAGAGATAAAAAGCTTAAATTTCCGTATAAACTTTTCAACAATTTAAACGCAGATAAACGTTATCACTGATTACTTCCAATAGATAATACCAAACCTTGGCTCGTGTTTGGCTCGAACAAATGTCAGTTTTTTATCTTTCGGTCTGTTAGTTACTTATTTACTAATAACTTAAGAGTTCTGCTGTTTCAACCTAAAAAAATGTTTGATTCTAGGATGAGCAATTCAAAGTAACCGACAAAGAACTGCTACCCAGCACATCAGCATCACCAGGACAAAGACAAGCTTCTGCTATGTCACTTTCAAACAATAACCTACAGGAGTCAGACGACGAAGACGAAGAGGAGGTCTTTTCTACCAAACAACTGTTTTCATTTGCTTGGCAAATAGCTAAAGGAATGGTATTGAATCGTATTTTCCTGATAATGTTGCTTTGATTTTGATTCTGAGCATAACAAGGCACAAGAGGAGAAAAATTCAAAAGTCAATATTGTATAAGCACCAAGTAGATGGGATAATTAAATTGATTGTTTTTCTAGATATGAGTACAGTTTTTTTTTTCATTTAAATGGGTTGGATGAATATATTTTCTAAGTCGATCGGTCAACCCAGTTTCGTTACGCATCTGGACGTAAATATCTGGATCAGATTAGTGCTGGTATTTTACTTTTCATTTGTCTCGTATTTTTTTAACGTCAACTAACTGCTTAGTGTTCGGGGTACTCCCGTTAACTGATTATGGTTTGAGATAATTTTAATTGTGTTTTTCGTTTCCTAATTGTTATTAGAATCATCTCGCAGAAAACAACTTTGTTCACAGAGACCTTGCTGCCCGTAATGTTCTTGTTGGCCATGACAACCAGATTAAAGTGTCAGACTTTGGGTTGATGAAACAAATTTATGAAGATGTGTGCCACTCAGAGAAGTCTAAAAGGCCTCCTGCGAAATGGATGGCCCCAGAATCACTTTACCAAGGCGTTTACACGACCAAAAGTGACGTGTGAGTTAGCGATTCCCTCTCCTTGACAAGGAAATCACGCCTGATTAAAACGTTTCTACTACTGTAATCACTTCTGTAGCCTGCGAAAACATCCGTTTCTCCTCGCTCTTCGCCACTGAGGACGTTTCGCGCGGAGGAACGTCTGCGTTTCAGCGACAGAAATTCCATACTGATGACGTAAACGGAGTAGTTACATTGTTTTAGCTATTGTCTACGAATGACAGACAAAAGACAAAAGGCCACAAAGGTCAAATGTAAAAGCGTAGAATCTCTGACAAAACAGTCAAAATTTGTGGAATATAGTGTTCTCTAGAAGAAGCATTTGAGTTTTGCTTCAGCTCGTTGGCAGATGAACACAACACTTTACCAGAATTGACCAGAATGCACGTAAAATTGTACAAATTCACATTTGGAACCCCATGACTACCGGATTTATTAAGTGAACATTGATTTACGTCATCAGTATGGAATTTCTGCCCCTGAGTCGCAGAAGTTCCTCCGCGCGAAACGAGATTTTCTCAATACTAAGTAGTGCGCGCGCGTGAACCAGAGTCACTTTGGCGGGAAAACGTGATAGTCGTCCTCATTCTACTACGAGTTTTAGAGAGAATGTCGTCTTAGCGGACACAGGTGCAACGCGGAGATAATTCAGTTAATTCATTCTTAGCCTATACTCCCCTTTTTTGTTTATGACAATGCTAGGGTTAAAAGCCGTCCAATCAAAAGCACAATTTTTTTGCCCAAATATGGAATCAGAGAATTGAAAGAATCCCTGTCTAAAAATAGCCAAAAAGAGGATTCTTCCAGTCCTTAACAATTTTCCAATTACATGCAAAACTCAAAATTACACGCTGAACCTTTCAGATTTGTTATATGATAATCACCAGACAAAAACATTTACATCTACATGCAGTGGAGCCGACAAGTAATAATTTTCTCTGCGAAGACTTCCCGTAAAAAATCTTCTTGCTCGATAAGTAGTTTTCCGTGCATTGTAAAACATTTTATATGTTATTGTGAACGGCTTTTGTACATTTCTTTTAATATTAAGGTCGCAACTCTACAAAACTATAACGCATACTCTTATGAGCGCTCGCTAGCTTTCGTGAAAACTATGACGCATACTCTTATGAGCGCTCGCTAGCTTTCATGAAAAGTACGTTAAGCGGGGTCCGTACTAATATGGAATTACTGATAGCCGAGACTGTCGCGCGAATGCTTAGGAAAAATTTGTATTGCGATGTAAACGGTGCGCTACAAAGACCAATTACAGTTTCACTAGTTTTACGACCAAAATCGGAATATTATTCCCAAAATGGCCAGGATTGACTTCCCTCGGACAAGACAACGTCGGCTACACATAAGAAGCATCTTAGGTAAATTTTGTTTGGTTCACCAAAAAAAAGAGGAAACCTTAAATCCTCATCAGTAACTTTAACGCCTGGGCCATTACAGATTTGACTTTGGTATAGATAGGCGACTTTCTGTTAGTAGGTTAAAACCAAACCTGTAAAACTGATTGTTGTGGTTTCTTCGTACTCAGCCCAAAAGTGTCTGTCAGTGATGGAATTTCAGCCCATTATCCGAAACGTAGTTCGCATGGTCCTGAGCAAGAGCGGCGCCGTGTTTTGCGCCGTTTGAATTTAATTCAAAGCTTATTAAATCATCACTTAGAAGCTATTCTCTTTTCTGGGCAATTAGTTGCTGGTAGATGTTAACGATCTACTTGGGATTGTGGGTCTATCAATTCTAGCGCTCCCTTTTCCCTTCTGTTCCCGTTGCTTTGACAGAGGAGTGTAGTTGGGTTACCTGAGTTTGCTCCCCTTGTTTGTCTAAGACTTGAGGGAAAACCTTTTTCGAGGCGAAAGTCGGTAGATTATTCATTGTCTTTCCGTTTTCTCGACACAAAATTCTAAGAACACGACAATGGAGGTTGTACCTGGTATTATTTAATTCAATGAAACACGATGCACGAAAGGTTTGGCACTCGCATTTTTTCGTTCGCCCATCAATTAAAAGAAAAAAAGATAAAGACGGCAATAAACAATTTAAATGCGGTGAATCTGTACATTGTTGTAACCCCTTTGTGCTTTTTTTGATAGTTGGTCTTTTGGCGTTGTTCTTTGGGAGATGGCTACATTGGGTAAGCGGATCAATTTACGGTTCATACTTATCATGTTAAGTAATGATCCGGGTAAGGTGGATAGCAATTTCTTTTGTTATGCGGCAACGGTGCTTTCCCCACATAGGAATGTTCTTATTTTTACACAGAGAATGCATAAACCTACATGAAGGCCGTTTAGGCAATAAAATGCATTTACACTCCACTTTGAAAGGGTGTTTTTTTGTGTTAAAAGATTTTGACCAATCACAAGAGTTGAAAAGAATAGCCAAGAAGTTTACAATTTTACATGTTCCACACATAGGATTTCTTGGTTATTCAAACTGAGACCAGTTTTTGTTATATGGAAGATGGTTGGAAAGTAAAGATGAATATATGTACTGCTTTATGAAGTTTTGTTAGCTTTTACTGTTTAAGCCAATCAGAAGTAAGTACAGACAATTGAAAAGTTAGCACCTTTTTTGCATTCCAACATGTTCGTTGCCGTTGTAGCTATCGTTCTTATCTGGACCGTTTCTTAAACTTAAAGTTAATTGACAAATGGACAAAAATTTACCATAGTCTGTGACTCTTATCTACCATAAAAATGATGTTAAAATGTTAGAAACTCAGGTGGAGCCACGCACGACCTGCTGGCGAAAGATTTCATTGCAAAGTTTGACTATTACATATTTTGACGTCATCTCTACGGTCGATAAGAGAATATTATCACAGACCATAAATATAGAGTGTTTTCACTCACGTGGCCAGCACTTTTGCAAATTTATTGGAACAAAAGAAAGCGTTTGCATAAGAAAAGAGTTCAACTCCCACAGGACTGGTTTGGGACACCAACATGGCGGCCGTTTTATTGTTTTGGGACACCAATATGGCCGCCGTGACGTCATGTGAAAACACTGTATTGTCGATTTGTTTGTTTGTCTTTTCTTTCAATAAAATTGACAGGTTTTTTTTTGAGGTTCGTTTCCAGTAATTTTTTTCGGAAAATCTGGCACGAAAGAAAGAGCTTAAAATAAATTGCGCCATCCGTCACGTCATTTTTCATTGTCGATCAGGCAGCGCCGTTCGAAAAATTGTTCTGATTATTATCGTAAAATATTGTACACAAACACATCCAAGGAACCCTCCTCCCCCCTTTTGCCATGGTTGGATGTGACTTGAACGATTGTTATCAAGGTTACTGCTACCGGGAAACAATTCAAGCTGGTTTCCTTTAGGCTAATTTCAGTGCTGTAAGGCCTCTCCTGGATGATAGCTACATGTGACAATGCATTGTATTTGGGAACATTGAAAGTTACGTGAATAAAGGAAGCCTTTCTTTTCTGACACATTTAAGTGCATTGGCCATCAGACCACCATTCAAATAACCATTTTTGCAAAATGACATTATTGAGTATGGAGAGTAACTATAGCATCTTAAATAGAGAGCTGTCTAATTATATCTACCGATATGTAATTATTGTAATTATTATATTTTTCTTTCTCTCAATCGCCAGGAGGAGTACCATACCCCACGCTGACCAACTCAGAGCTGTATCGACTGCTCGGTACAGGTTATCGCATGGAAAGGCCTGACATGTGCTCCGATGATGTGTACGTTTCTTGATCAGGGTCGTCTCGATCTTAGAATTGACGATTAGATTCAACTTAAGTTTTCCGTGCTTCTGTTCAGTTACAATTCACAGCGAACGTTGCAACATACGAAATTCGTCAAATATGTTAACGCCTTCTATGATCATATCAAATACTGACCAGAAGGACGGCAAGGGACAGGGGGGGGGGGGGACTCCCATATGAAAGGGGCGGGGATGCTTGTCGTCTCGCTTAGGGGTGTAAATTTCAGTATGTGGTCTCGCTTAGGGTGTTCTGTGCAAAACACTATTATATTTAGCCGTAAAGGTCTCTTTTAGGGATGCACTCGAAAAAATATTAAAAAATTATATATTTTCAATTCGTTTTATTTACTCGATTCATGTAACCAAAGTTTAAACTGATCGCTTTTAGGGGTCAAAAAAGGTTGGGCCACGCCCAGATTGGTCTCTATTAAGGGTTTAATTCAAAATTTCCGACGAGCATCCCCGCCCCTTTCATATGGCAAGGGTAAACTTTTATTGGAATTCTTACTCTTTTAACAAGGAAACAACTAGTATAGACCACATTTTCAAAACCATTTGCCATTTCAGATAAAACAGATAACACATTGTAAGTTTAACCTTTTGTTCGCTTACTCTAAACCCTCTTAGCTTTATGGTCCATTAAGGCATCGATAGCAGTGATTAGGTTAATCTCTTTCCCGAGAGGGCTACCTTTTTCAGTCTTCTGGTATAGGAATTTCGCTAGTCGAAGTACATGAAAGGGTATTAGGGAATGCTGTCGTTTCGGTTAAATTAACTGCAAAAACCGTGGACGAAAATCCTGCTAGGTGTAAACGTTGGATCTCTAGAAAAGAGATCAAATCAACCAAAATATAAAGAAACAAGAACGAGAAGCTGTAGTCTTCGGACTTCTCGTTCTTGTCGTTTCGGTCTATAAAATGCCTTAAAAGAGGGCTAGAGAAGGATTTTTTGGCAGTGAAGAAATCACGAAAAATTTCTAGTTTTGTTTTTTGTTTATTCAAAAGGAAGTGCATTAAAAGGGATAAAAAGTCCTTTGAACTAGGTATTTGAAAGAGGTACTATTTACCAGTAGAAGGCATAGGAAAGGGGTGTCAAAAATGATATACAAAAGGGTACGGTGCCTCGCGGGATAAACCTTTTTTGAGAACACCCCCCGATCTCTTTACATAATAATGGCTGGATGAAGGAGTAGGGAATCACGTGATAACCCAAAAGTTCCAGGAGCCGATTTTAATGGGCTTTACGTTGAAGCTTCACCCAAAAGGATTACCTTTTTAGGCCACATGTATATGGAAAGGTAGGAATTTTACAGCTGAAATGAGTGAAAGGGTAGGAAATTTTGTACCTTCGGTAATTTACATTAAAGATATTTTAAACAGATGTACCTTTATTGTATGCTTGATGTTAAGGGCTTAATGGCTTAAAAGTAGTCGTACCATTTTCCAGGGTAGGCGGAAAGGAATATATACGAAAGGGGTACCTTTTCGAAAAAAGGGATTGGACCTCAGGGTGGAGCCTCCCTGTAAACTCATGAAGCTAAGAAGCCTATATATTCTACTACAAAATTTTCTTTTATTCCAATAGACCTCTTTCGCTTGTATGTTTTGTTTTCTCCCAATACAGGTCATGTGATAATACTCCAAGGGACTGTTTCTTTCAAATTTCGTGTCATTCAAGTGCATATGTATACATAGTAGACAAAGGGTAAAATTCCCCTGGGACCTCCATTGTGAAAACAAAACATACAAGCTATAAAGTGCCTTATATAATATATTGACACGGTCTAATAATTGACTGGAGCTCTAGTTAATTAGCATTGAATGGTTCTATTTTTTTTCCTATTCATGACAGATATGAGCTGATTTCTGACTGCTGGAACGAAGACCCTTACATTCGTCCCACTTTCTTCCGGTTGATCGAAATACTGGAGGAGATAATGGAAAGGGATGCACCATACTTGGATGTAAACAAACACAATGAAGATCGTCCGTATTACAACGTACCTCCTTTAGCTAGTGCTGATTGATATGGAGAAGAAGGGGCATCCCCGATAATCGGACAGCTTAAGACGGAACGAGTATAAACAGTAGATGCATAGTTATTGACTTAGAAACTAAGCTAAGAAAATACTGAAAGAATTAAAACAAACATGAAAAGAGCTTTAAGTGTAAAAAAAAAAAAAGAAAGTGTAACAGTAAGGCCCTCCAGATCTAATCAGGAGCCCATCATCCAGGAATGTAAATCTCCCTTATAGCGTGTTAAGATTTTTACTAGGCTATTTATAGACTAATCTTTCACGCAGAAAAAAAAGCGGGACTGAGTAGGATTTTCAGCAATCAGCGGATGCGATCAAAGAAGTATACAGCTATTAACGTAAAGGTATTAACAGTGATTAAGGTTTTAACTGAATGACGAGCCTTAAAAGTTAGCCACTAACTGAGAAGATAGCTGAAGATCAACCGCCATGTTGGATTTCACCGAAGTTGTTTTTAGTGCACGGCGAATTTTTCTTAAACGATTGTATTTATTACTGTGAGTAGTGTAAATTATAAACGGAGAGGTTTAAATAAGAATCTAGGGATTACATATTTAACTATTGTTTTAATGCTTTGCAAAATCCGTATTAGATATAGACTGGCTGAAATACCTCTAACGCTATCATTATGATTAAAATAACATTGTTCCGCACTTGACTTGCTTTATACTTTGGCATTTCTCATTTCATATTGTAACCATGTAAATGGTTTGACCAATGAATGACTGCATGACCTGATAAGTCATTAACGTCGCGGTACTCCTTTGTTTGTCCGTCAGTTAAGCGATGGTGCCTCAGGGTCATTAAAAAAACAAACAAACAAACAAACAAACAAACCGTCCTTTGTCATAGTTATATTTCAGACTCGTACCCAGCGCTATTTATGCGTTTTGGGGGTGAGAGAAGATTAGGGGTTAGGTTAAGGCGCGCGCGGGGTCTCATGGGAAGGCACGAAGGAAAATTAGCGGCGCTATTTTTCCTTTGTGCAAAGTGCTAAAGTGCTGGCCCTAGTTGTTCAAAACGTGGATAAAGCTATCCACTGGTTATAAATCTCTATATAGTGGATAACGCAATCAGTTTCCCTAATACTTCCACTGGATAGTGATTTATCCGGTGGATAGCGCTATCCATCGTTTGAACAACCGGAGCCTGGTCGGTGAGAGATAATTTTTTTCTCGCAGCTTTCGCCGGTTCCAATGGGAAAAAACCTCTTCCACCCTGTGTGGTGAAAGACCAAATAACGTTTTGCAAAGGCTTTTCTGGGTTAATGGCAGGAAGAAGGCGTTCTAACACGTTAACTATATTTACCTCTTTAAACTATTATTTTTAATAAGTAATTTTCCACTTCTCAGCTAATTCCCCGCCAATGCACATATGACTATATTTTGGCTGAAAGAGTCCTTTTCCAATCGTCGTTGCTTGTCAGTACGTCCTCCATAACAGGTGGAATTAGGCAATTAGTTTCACGTCCTGAGTCGGGAAAGGGGCAGCCTAAGTTAAGATTCAGTAGGAGAAAACGAGTTTACACGAGTCTTCATCATTAAGTTTTAAAACAGAATTGAAAATCGGCAGTAGCCCTGGATTAGCTTAACCTTGTTTAGAACAAAGCGGCCTCGGTTTAGTAAACCAGATCAATTCACACTTCAACACAGGCGGCCCAAACTCACATACCATAGGTGACGCGCAGGCGGTGTGCGTCACGAGATTCGACCAATCAGAATGCGGTATTTGTAGAGTGATTTTCGTCGCGCTTGGAAACGGAGCCGTTTTCAGAGTTGTATCTGATGAAATCTTCTCATTCTTCCAAGCTTGGGTAGGTAATTTCGACATTATACCGCCATGAAAAGTTGTTGAAACACTTTATTTTGATAGTAGTTACGTTACTTAAAATATTTTGCTTTCTTGAGAGTGTGAGACAAGTTTGAATTGCTCGGTCATGTGCAAGCCGCCACGGTGATTTAAGTGTTACTTTTGCCGTTCCTCTTGGATTCATTGCTGGTTACTGTTAGCGGTTTTATCGGATTATTTTGGTCATCTCGTTAATTCAAACTCTCTTCTTTGTAAATTTTGGGGTCTACACGGGTCTTCCTCTGATAGTTTCCCCGTTATGAGGCGTTAAAGAGTCTTGGAATGAAGAGATCGTCTCACCAAAGTAGCACAACTCCCGGGAAACTGGGGCTGAGGAAACATGCCGAAACGGAAGCCGACGTGAAGCGAGTAACGCCAAATCCAGCGTTTGTTCCATTTTAAACTAGAATAGGTAAATAGGTTTGAATATTGTAAAAACCTTTGGAAACAAAACAATTTTCATAACGCAGTGCGGAAACTGAAAGCGTGTCTCCTTGGGTAGCAGTTTACGTCGCGTAGCAGAAACACAAGGGGGTTTATTTGCCTGTGATTTAACCCTAATAATTTTTATTTCTTTTGCAAACCAGAATAAATCAATGTTGTAACATTTTCTTTTGTGTCTTTGGGTAAAAGTTACTTTGCACTGCAAAAACACTGGGGCATTCATTTGCCTGTGATTTAACCCTGATGATTTTTTTGCTTTTGTAAACCAGAATAGATCATTAATTAAGTAAAATTTTCTGTTGTGTCTATGGGTAATCTGTTGTAAGTAAGTAAGTAAGTAATAACTTTATTTAACGAGGGTAAAGACATTGATTACTGGTCACCCAGTAGTTTTCATAATGGCCCTCCTACAATTAAAGTAATAAAAAGTATCGATTAATTAATTAACTACCAATATAATCTACCAAATAAAATTACATAATAAACAACTATTAATACAATATTGATTAATTGACTACTAATGAAACTAAAAGGTTTTACAAATCTTAAAATGATCAAGAGAAGAAATCAAAGTACCGTAAAGTTTAAATAAGTAATTTTTAAAATTAGTATGGGAGAGTGTCTTAGGTTCGGGATCAAGAGCGTTCCACAAACGGGCAAGCGCTTGAGTGAAACGTTCGAAGGCCAGAGTTCCTTTTACAAGCTGGTGTTGTAATATTGTTATTGGAAACGGATCTCGTGTTATGATTATGGGTGTCTATGGTATGTTTCGCGCAGCAGAAACACTGCAGGGGCATTCCTTTGCCTGTGGGTAACCCTGATAATTTTTTCTATTCATGAACCAGAATAGAATTTTTGTAACATTTTCTGTTGTGTAGACAACGAGCCAAAAGCATACTTGAGCTTTTTCAGTAGTACACCTTGACTCGCCTTTTGCCTGATTTTGCGTTTTAAGCGTGGGCAACTGTTTCAAAATGCGTATTCAACTAGTAAGTAGGTAGACTGTCTCGGAGAATTGAACTTGGACACGACGAATAGCAGACTTTCCAAAAAAGCCGACTTGTAGACTTCTCCCGACTTTGTCGCTCTCTCGGCTACTTCGCAGCCCCCAAAGCTCGCTCCGCTATCTAAGAAACTTGTGAGGCCGACTTGTAGCAAGTCTAGGTGAAAAGTGGTCGTTTCTTTTCCTTGCATCATCGTATCCACGCATCAGTTCGTGTATGTGATGCATACTTTCCCGGTGCTCCTCACACTCGAGAATCTGACAGTCGAACTTGAAATCATTTACAAAAATTAACAGTGACACGTGCGTGTTTTATTTTGGTTCTTCTTGTTAACACTTGAATGTATAACGTGCAAATGCGTAAACATTTCAAGTTATTCTAATGCTTTTCGTATCAAATATTTCCAGTGATATATTTTTTTCGTTAAATGTGCTGGTATATTACTTTTGTTTAGCTTACATTTCAACGAGATTTGTGCCAGTAAAGTCGGATTGCTTCGTCTTCATTGTATCCTTGAAATTGCCCGGCGGTTTTTATCTTTATAGTGCAACTTGGGTAGCTGTTATCTACCTTTAATTGAAGTTGTTTCAATTTAGGACAGCCTTGTGGTAGCGTGTTCAAAGGAAAACAAACTATTTTGGGGGTGTTATTTGATTATAATTTTCCTTGAAAGTATTTTAGTTATATGAAAGGAAAAAGTGAACTTTTGTGCAGCAAAAATATGCATCCGTTTTACTTCACAATAGGAATACTCTCGCCATTGTGAATAAATGGCTCTTGAGGGAGTTGGGGTTTTTGCCGACTTTTGACACCTTTCTCTGACTTAATTGATCTGCTCTACATGTGCTCTGGTCTTACAGTGGTTTGTGTTACCAAATACACCCCGCTGAATTGGAAAAAAATTATTTCCAAACCAGCGGGGTACTGTAAACCTGAGCAGTACTAAGGGACGGTCCATTAGAAACGTTATGGGGGAGGGAGGGAATTTTCCAGGCGCCGGAATTTTTTTGGTTATCAAATTTCTTTTATGAATTTTTTTAGGCCTTAGCATGAATATCTTTTAGGATTAATTGGCCTGCACGCATTTTTTTTCATTTAATTTTCCCTGGCGCGAATTTTTTTTTTGTACTTCGACCGCCCCCACCCCCCCATAAGTTTTCTAATGGTCCGTCCCTAAGCTCATCATTCTAGAAAACATGTCCAACGGGTTGAAACCCTAAAGTAGCACGTGACCTTATCTTAATGAGATAAAGATAAAAGACTATGACATCATTGGGGTTAAGTACCTCACTTCAAATTAATGGGGTCCCCCTGTTCTGTCGCACTTTGTAATAATCTTCGCACTTCGTAACACCTGTCACACTTTGTAATAAAATTGTCGCACTTTGTAATAAAAAAGCTGTCGCACATTGTAACAACAGACCATCGCACTCTGTAATAAAATAAGCTTGGTGACGGAATGATAAATCAATTGTTGAACTCGGTTATCGCAAAATAGCGTGATTTGACAGTGTCTGCCAGATCACGATATTTTGCTCAACCTCGTCCAGTAATTGTTAATTATTTGCTTTCTCCCGCTCCATCACCAGGAGGCGTTCCATATGCGACGCTGACCAACACAGAGTCTTATCGACT